TTTGTCCACATATAGCTCCATTTTGGTCTACATTAAAGAGCCAAGACTTGCCCGATAAGATATCCCTATGCTAGAGATTTGAATGAGGTTTTGTTTGGAAAGCTGGAAATGTTAGGAAAGCTAAAATTCACAACCTTGACAGTTGTGAAACCAGATACCCAGGAGCAAAATATTGATTGCAACTGTTCTTATTGTTATATATAAACAAATATTTTGACTTCAACATAATCTCCATGAATGCAGAATGCATTATCATTCAATACATGGAATGGTTCTTCAAAATAGATGCCAATGATGAAGTCATCAGGAATCAGAACATGACAAGAACAACTGAGATTTGGAGAATGGTTCTGGGGATAATCAGGTGAAGTGATCATATCTTTGTTTGCATGCAAAGCACCTCCACAACCTATGGAAAAGAAATTGATCTTTTTCTTTAGAGAAAATTAAAAAAAGATACCTTATTACAAAATGTGTGGGACACAGCTAAAGCATATATTCAAGGGCTGGCAATGACATATATGGGAAAAAAGAATAAAAAGAGAAGACAAAATCAAAAAGAATTGGAAGGAGAGTATAAAAAAGTTATAGATGAAATTACAAAAGGATACACAAAATAAAAGGATTAAAAATCAAATGGACTTGAAAAAACACAAATTGAACTTAATCAAAGAAGAGGACTTGAAGAAAAAAAGAGAGATTGATGGATGAGGAAGGAATGACCTGTTATCGGTATGAGGAAAAAAAGAATTGTTCAAACATATTATGAATAATTATATAAAAAAGGAAATCTCTGAAGATAAAACAATATTTAGAAAAGGTGGAATTACCCAAAATGCCAGGAAAATTTAAAAAGTCATTTGAAGAAGAAATAACGATGATGGAAGTAAAAAAGGGAATTAAAAGACAAAAAAATGGAAAGACACCAGGGCCAGATGTATTATCAGCAGAGTTATACAAAACATTGCAATACAATGTTACTTTTGATAGAGACAAAGATACCAGATTCTTGATGGAAGTGTTTCTACCAAAAGAAGATATAGACTTACAACAAATAAAAAAAATTAGAACGATTTCCTTGTTAAATGTGAATATAAAATATTCGCATAAATAATGGCTGAAAGATTAAAGAGACTGCTAAATGAATTTATACATGCTGACCAAAATGGTTTTCTATCTAAGAGACAGATTATAGAGAACATGAGGATAGCTTTGTACACTTTGGAATATTATGAAACTCATTCTAGAAAACAAATGGCGTTGATGTTTCTTGATGCACAGAAAGCTTTTGATAATGTGAACTGACAATTTATGATAACGTAACTACAGATTTTGGTTTGGGCGAGATATTTATAAATATGATTTTAAAAATTACCATAAACAAGTAGCAAAGGTAATGATTAATGGAGAGATGACAGAGAAGGTTAACATTTTAAAGGTACATGACAGGGATGTCCCCATTATTATTTGTGTTAACATTAGAGGTGTTAAATAGAAATATAAGACAAAATGAAGAGATAAAAGGGATGAAAATTAAGAAAAAAGAATGTAAACTACAGGCATTTGCAATTCATCTTTAGTGTTCATCTTGGAAGAATCGCAAGAAACTGGGCCGAAATTAGTAGAACAAATAGAAGAATATGAAGGAGTTGCAGGACTTAAAATAAAAATAAAATGAAATTATTGGTGAAAAAAATACCGAGAAACAGAAAAGGGAGCTGGTACAAAAGTTAGATATGCAGATAACTAAAAAGGTAAAATATTTGGAAATTCAAGTGATGGCATGATGTATAACAATAAAAAAGATAATTATTACAAACTGAAAAGACATATTGAGACAGACTTGGAGAGATGGAAAAATAATTAATGGGCAGAATAGCAATAATTAAGATAAATTTATTACCAAGATTGCTGTTTTTATTTCAAATGATGATAAAGCTAGAGAAAAAGTATTTCAAAACTCTTAACAAAATAATAATGAAGTTCATATGGCAAGGGAAAAAAGTGACAATTAATATAAAAATGTTACAAGTTGCAAGAACTAGAGGGGGGGTTGGATTACCAAACTGGGAATTATATGATCAGGCAACAGCACTGCCATGGATAAAGGAATGGATTGTAATGAGGAAAACAAGATTATTGACATTGGAGAGACATGATTAATCTTTTTTTTAAAATTATTTTTATTATTATCAAACAACACACACACACAAAATAATCATCTTACATTACATCTTGTAGAAAGTGTGTCAATTGGTTACAATTAGCTT